TGGATCACCTCCCGATAGATGACCACCGGCCTACCATAATGGATCGTATCACCAAACAGACGGTTACGCTCATCCACGGCGACACAGGTAAGCTCAGTCGATGTAAGCAGACCTTCAGACCACCGGCTCGGCTCAGGCTGCGGGAAGAGCTCGAGAGTACCACAATTCATAATAGAGGCGGATCCCAACGCCAAGATCGTCGTAACCCAGCCAAGGAGGCTGGCAGCTATCACGTTAGCCCACCGAGTGCGAGATGAGGTAGATTCTTGCGCGCCACGAAATTCATGTCTATTGAGTCGAGCATGCTGTTCCCCTGTGTGCTTCAGCTCACAGCGTGTGGCAAGGATGGTGCCTCCTTGGTCGGGTATCGAATAGGCGGAGGAGAGAGAAGCGAATCGTCGGGCGCTGAAGAGCCTCGGATTCTCTTCGTTACTACAGGCTATCTCCTCCAGAGTCTCGTCCAAGACCCCATACGACTGTATACCAAGTGGACCCATGTAAGGCGAGCATATATCTTTGTTCCGTCCATTGCGAATTCTTAAGGCTCCCAATAGGGCATTTGTCTAGCGACAGCACGAGCTGACGGAATGGGGGTATGTAGCAATTACTGCTTCGTAGGTCATACTGGACGAAGCACACGAGCGTGGTATGGATGTCGATCTGGTGATGTCTATAGTACGACTGATGAGAAGGCAGTCGGTGTCCCCTGACTTCAAGATAGTCGTAATGAGCGCAACTCTACAGGGCAAGGTAACTATTACTTTTGTTGTCGAGACTAGGCCTGTATACTCTAGGTGCTCGCTGATTATTTTCGGGATCTCAATGCTGGTGTCTCGGGTGGGTCGTTGAAGCCTATATACGTCGGTGTCAAACGATTCGCAGTGGAGAGGTGTGTCACTTCTTTCGCCGTGCTTTGCTATCTCCGCCGGGATCAGTTACTACCTCGATGATCTCTGGGGTCTGTCTCGGCCCCCTGACCCCTCATCTACTACTGTAGCTGACACACTGAGAGCTCGGAGTTCAGTTTCAAAGGTGGGTCAGGTGGGACTTGTGTATGGTGATATGCCAGGATGTCTATCAGATACTAGCGAGTGATGCAACCGAGGGAATCAACAAGCTCACTAAACTTCAAGTGGAATAGCTGATTTGATGCTTCCTGTACATCAGCATTTCCCTTTTCAGGACTCGGCGATCGAGGCCGTAGAGAGCAAGATGGTCCCTGGTGGCACAATGGGACTAGTGGATCTCAAGGACAGTCTGGACCTCTGGGGTGACTCTTTGGGGGTACGATTCTACTGCCTGCTTAGCCGCTTTGTGGTATCATCTTGTTTGGCATTGTTCAGCCCTCGGCGGCCCCAGACTGCGTCACCAAACTGGCGGCCGTGAATCAGGCAGCCAACCTCTCGCCATCGACGAAGTACGAAGTTGATCTTTCCATTGCTATGCTTCATCCGGCTCGTAATGGTTCTGCGCTTCTCGTCCGATCGCTTCATCTCGAGAGTTCTATGTTCGTGCCTTGTGTCGCTCCCTTCGCAGCTTACCCTCCTACACTGACCGCATCACAGGCGGTACCTCATAAGTCGCTCTGTGGGAACGGCTTTCTGGTGCACCCCGAGGTGGTCTCCTACTCGTATGGGGGTCTTTGATTAATTATCAATGATTGCTACGTACCTTTGTTATGCTATTACATGGCTCAGGTACGATGTGTTGGTCTGGAGGCTCATTCAGCACTTTTGTGATGGTGGGGATAGCGTGATCGTATTCTTACCTGGTATTGCGGAGATCTTCGACCTCAATAACTACTATAGGTCTATGATCGAACCGACACTCATCGGGGTGAGGTCACTGTCTTTCCGTTCACTATTACTCCATTGTTAGAGAGCAGGTACGATGTGAAGTGGTGGTACTGCATAGCACAGTCCCTATACAGTACGACAGTGAGGGCAATCTACCTAGGCCTGGGCCAACAGAAGTCCGAGTGTAAGGAGGCCTCAACAGTCCCGACTTGATGGAGGCTTTCTTAGGTATCTATCTACCAATATAGCCGAATCAAGCGTCACCATACCGGGG